ACGAAAGCTTATGCTCTAATAAATTTGTTAGTCTCTAAGGTGCCACAAGTACTCCTGTTCTTTTTATTGTAATAAAAATAATTCTTCTTGAAAGAACGTTAGCAATTTATGTGGCATACTTACAACTCTTGTCTGCGTATGGACAAATCATCAGGAACTTAATCTCTTGGAGTCTTTGTAAGTAATTTTTGTTTTGTTAATGTAGTTTGCCCCACAGGGTCAGAGCTTGATCTGTAGCTGCTCTCCGCATAGCATCCCTCTGACTTCATGGGGAATTCTGCCTACAAAGAGTCTGCAGAGTCAGGCTTTTAGTCTCATTGGAATTGTCTTGTTGCCTGAACTGCAATTGTTCTCCCCGCTCCCCCGTCCAATTTGCTGTGTGACCAGTAGCAGTAGACAACCCTATCATGTGAATCATTAAGGCTGGTCTATACATATGGGCAGCTGTCTGAGCTACATGCTGATGCTTCTTGCTGCCCTTTTGGATATTTTTTCTTCCAATATCCAATTTTAAGTGGCAGCTGGAAAGCAATAAAAATCCATTTGAATTAAAACTAGAAATCTGGCATGCACCAAAAGACTAAAATGTTGTCCTTTTAATGTATTGCAAGAGCGGTGAAGACATATGTACAATCTGTGTCTCATACATCCCGGTGTGCAAAAAATAAGATAATCTTGGATGAGCGTCTTCCATGATCTGTTCAGGTAGACTGACTTGATGGAGGGTGAAGTCATGCTTGATTTTATTAGATGGCATCAATGCGCTGCATGCTGTACAGATCATGAAGTAAAACCTGGCCCCTGATCCAAAAAGTTCGCATTCTAAGTGTATGTATGAACAGTATTCTCTCAATGAACCAGGTTACAGAAGAGACTGATTCCAAGGCCCTGCATGCTCGTTATTTCTTTATTTTATTAACATTTATTTTGGTGGGTTAACAATGATGGGTTCTGTGGAAGAAGTTTGCATAAGGAAGGAATAGTCATTTAATTCAATAGTTCTTACGGTCTGCCGCATGCCCTGGACTAGAGGTTCCCAACTTTTCTTATTGCACGCTGCCTTCCAGATCTACCAGCAGCCTGTGTACTCCTACCCTTCTCATCACTGTTATTGTGTGTGTTCTTCTTAACACTGTCTTTAGCCATCTGTCCATATTTCACTGTTACATACAGATATAGTTATAATGTGACAAATACAACCAAACACCGTCTCCCCCACCCCAAGTTCTGAGCTCAGTTAGACTGGATAGTTGCTGGGCAACTGAACCCGTGGTGTACGGTGATTAGAGGTGAGGGCTCTGTACATCAGTGTTGCTGTGTATCTGTTCTCATTAGTACATCTTGAAGTAAATACCGTATTTTATATAACAAATTCCCACTGTTTTAAAGCTTTGTCTGAGTAGCCTATTATGAAAATGCAATAAATAAAATAAAATAAAAGTGACCAATATGTATTTTCTCCCATGCACCCTCCAGAGGCATCTCACATACCCCCAGGGGTTCACATACCATAGTTTGGGAACCCCTGCTCTAGACTATAACTGAAGTCCATTTTTATCAACCTTGCATGATTGGGGTTCAGGGAGAAAGAAGGTTTTCTGGATATATGCTGCAGCGTGGAAGAATGAAGCTTGAAAACAAGTGTGGGACGAATTAGGCAAACTTATCTCAGCAGCCTCTAATAGGGTGACCAGATAGCAAGTGTGAAAAATAGGGGTAGGGGAGGGGGTAATAGGCGCCTGTATAAGAAAAAGCCTGAATATTGGGACTGCCCCTATAAAATCAGGACATCTGGTCACCATAGCCTTTAAACAGCCTGATTTTAAGTTACACTAAGGTCTCCTTATCCAGAAAGAGAACTGTGCGAAGGGGCCTTAGTGCTACTGAGAGGCATGCCTCTTTCTTCATAATGTTTTGTGTGATGCATGACACCAATATAAATGTTCATTTTGGGAGGCAAAAACTAATGCCTGCTTTTTCAGCCTAGGGCTTGTGAGTCCACCAATTGGGTCCAGGGTGTGGGCATTTGTGATCACCTTCCTGTTCTTTAGCCAGGTGGCAGAGGTGTCCCCAAAATAAAGGAGATGGTGCATGAAACTCTTTTCTGTTGTGATATGGGTCATGTCAGGAAAAAGGTAGAGAAACACATACAGTGGAACAACACTTTTCCTATTACCAAGAACTCTTTCTTCCTCCCCCACACCGTCCCTTGTATTTCCATTTGTGTGTAGCTGATCTGCAGAAATTGGTATAACCCTGTACATTGCAGAACCCTGGGTAGCTGGGCTGGCAAACTCCAAATTCCCATTTTTTCCAACTCCCGTTGATCCAGATATCCATAAACAAGTTTGTGCAATATATCTTTAGGTTGCTTCTATTATCTTTTCTATTTATCTGGAGAAAGTGGGGGATAGAAATGCCTATACTTTTCAGTAGTTTTCTTTAGTTTTTCATAAATGCTCCAACCTTTGCTAGTTACAGCCCTTAATCTTTTATTTCCCCCCACCCACCTTTTAATTTTTTTACAGGCCTTTTCGGATTGGTGAAATTAAACTACACGTCAGTAATGCAGGAGGAGCAACAGCCCGAGGTAGGGTTGGGAATAACATCTTCCCCAGTAGTGATGATAGAAGGCACTTGACAAGGCCCAGAATCAGCAAGGTACTTAAGCACATGCCCACTGTTATCAGCCCCAAGCATTCAAAAATCATAGGATTGTCTTAAAAATAATTAGATTAACCGTGGGTTCTTGTTATTTGATGTCCAGATTTGGGACCCCTAGGGTTTATTTTCAGGCTTTTCTCTGCAACTGGGAGGGGTAGAAATGTACCCTTTTATTTTTAAGTAAAAGCTGAGATTCTCACCTAATGACCTGACTTCAAGGACTCATGGTAAAACTGTAAGAGTAACTTCAAGCATGTGAGCAGTTCCATTGTAAGCACCTTAAGTACCTTGCTGAATCATGGCCTCAATGCCTTTTGCCATCCTTGAATTCCTACTGTTTCCCTTCTTCTCTTTCAACTCACTTTCCCATGTTCCTGCAAATACTTTGATATGGAAGATAGTTTTGTGTGTGTGTGTGTGTGTGTGTGTGTGTGTGTGTGTGTGTGTGTGTGTGTGTGTGTGTGTGTGTGTAGTATAATATACTAAATAAA